TTAGCGTCTTTTATTCTCTTTTTTATTAATCGATCAGTTTCATTATATTTAATTGGATTTTTTGTTTTGAATGATTTTTTTTTTATTTTCTTAGTGTCTTATAGGATTCAAGTCTTGGAGGTTTACCATTCTTCATTTCTGTTAATTCTTTGTTAATTTTATTTTTATTTTATTTTATTATTTTTTCTATTTTATTTTTTTATAGTTTCTATTATTTTTTATTTACGTAAGCGTTTACGTTACTGTTATCAGCGAAAAGATGTAGGTATATAGGTTTGCCAGATTCTGCATAGTTTGTTATGATCTCATACAATTGTATTGTTCAGTCTTATTTCTAAGAAGTTTATTTTTTTTAAAAATTATATTATGTCTTTTAGTTTTTCATTTACGTTAAAAAGTTATGTTTTTACAGGAGTTACTCTGCTTAGTTTATAACATCCATATAATTATTGGCTCTTTTATTGTATATTTAATTCTTCGATGAATTTTTTATATTCTTCTTTATTTCATTTATATTTTTTCTTTCTCCCATTAGTTCTAGAATCTTCTTTGTTACACAACTTCTCTTTGCCTATGCCCTTTTGTACGGGAAAATATTTTGTAAAACTTTATGTGTTTTGACCATTTGCCACTGCTCTTCTATATTTTCTTCCTAATTAAACGTTATTATTAAGTAAAAGTTCAGTTTTTCTAGTTTTTGTTGTAGTTTTTCAAGTTTCAATAATTTCTAAACCAGTGATACTGTAATATTAGTTCCAACGATTTTAAGCGGTTTAGAGGACATTATGCCTTTTTTTTAATTGTTTTATTTTTAGATTTCAATAAGAGCCTAAGAAGATATCCATTAAATTCTGGTTGATAACGGTGAGAGAAATCAATTAGCCGTGTTCCGACTAAAGCCTTAACCACCGTTTCAGAATAGTGCTCTTGCTACTCAATGAACAACTAAGATCCTTATATTACTGCTACTTTAAAAGAAGATTAACTGGATTATATTAAAGAAAAACTTAAAAATAACCAAACCCATTACTGTAAATCAGAAAAAAAAATTGTTAAAAAGTTGCCTATTATAAAAAAAAAACAAAAAAATGAAAACATTTTTGTGAGGCCATAAACTAATTTTGGTACTTACTACCCGAAGCAGGAGCATCCGGTACCTTACAAACAGTACAGTCTACCATGACATATTTGCCTATTCTGTGTTTGAAGGTGCCAAAACTACCATATACGGTCAGAAATACTGTCAAAAAAAGTCGACTTTCCGGAACTTACATTCTCACCACAGCACCAGATCTGAAATAAGCTCCTTTGTCCACCTTGCCTTTCCGTTATCATTCGCCCATTCTCTCTGCCACTCCACTATCGTTCTCCCTCCCTCTCTCTCTCTCCCTTTCTTCATTCTCATCTTTATTTCTATCCATCCTCCTCGCATACACCCTCGCTTACTCTTTGCACAACACAACGATCGGTATACCCGAGGAGCATTCGCCCTTGCGAAGTCTCCATCAGCTTAGCGCATTTCGCAGTGTTCAGTGCGCTACACCACACGGGGCAGCGTAGGTTACCACAGACTGGAAAACTCCATTTAGCACCCTTCTTTTGGTGCTACATGGGCCTCAAATGTTTGGCATCAGCGCCTTCAGATTTCGGTTCGCTTTCTCTACCGTCTTTTGGATGTATACTTCGAACCTTAGTTCTTGCGACAACCAGATTCCGAGATACTTAACCGATTTAACCGGTGCAAACTTCACACCTTCTACTGTAATAATAAGGTCATTAGGCTCTTAAATCAATTTTTAATAAAGTATAGTTAAATGTTTAAATGGTACATCGACTACAATGTAGAAACAAATTTACGAGTTATGCAAAACAAACATATTTATATGCTTCTTATTTACATTTAATCTTCCGTGCTTCCAGTCCGTCCTTCAAAGCATACAAAGCAGTGTCTAAATTTACTCCGGCGGTGAAATAAGGCGTCCGATCATCAACTCAGTGAGTATAAATAGGTAATTTGTGGTGTCTGTCGCCACTCGAGATATATGTACGACGCATTACAATAGTGCAATTAAAGCGAAATGTAATTAGAAGATAATTGTACAGCAAAAGCTCGTGTCGACATACTAGTTACGTATACATACGGATGGAGTAGAGGCAGAAACGTACACATTTACTACGATGGATTATAATTACACCTGCAACTTCACATCGATGCACTTTTACAGAAGAGTATTTTAAATCGGAATGAGCTTTTAGTTTGCAAATTAGAATGGTTGTTAGAATGTTCTTTATCTAAACTGAAGTACATATTATATTGTATTTCAAGTAAAATATACACAAAGTTTTATCACATTATCGGAATACTACAATAAAAATCAAAAAAATGCTTTGTACTCTATTTGAGAATATACATTTATGGACAAAAATATGGAATATTTTAATTGGACATGTAATTTGTTTATAGGGGGTTAACAACGGCGGGCGAACTTTCGACACCAAATTGTCTTTGTACCTGGGGTAATCGAAGGGTCAAATTTTATTATAGGAAATTCCGACACCGCGGCGTAAAGCAGGTAGGTAGGTAATTAGCGGCGATGGACATTTGTACCCAAGCAGGACAAGCGGGTTTTCCCAATAGTTATTATCACGGCGGGGGGTGTGGCACTTGTGTACTTGTGACTAAATTATTTCAGTTGTAATTTATTTCTTGTTTGACGTTGACTTATGCATGTATACGGATATTTAAAAAATGAGTTTGATAAAAAGTTCCCGTGGTCGAGATTTATTAGTGGTGGAGCATCATTCGTTCTCGAAAGAGACAGTGTTAAAAAGCGGCGAGATATTTTGGCGCTGCATCCAAAGAAACACTAAGTGTTCCGCAAAAGTGTTTACAATAGGCGGAGAGGACCTCACTATCACAAGAAGTGTTTTGGTACATAATCATGAAGCCCATCCAAAAAAGCTTGAAGTAAAGATGGTAACCAATGCATGTAAAAGAAAAGCCCAAGAGGACATATCGGAAAAGTCTGCCAAAATTACAAGAACTGCTGTTGCTGAGTGTGATGCCAATTTGCTGACGGTTCCTTACATAGCTAGCATAAAAAAGAACATTTACAACTGTCGTCGTAAACTGTTACCAGGTCCGTTACCAAGAAGCATATCAGAAGTCCATAACGCGGTTAGTAATTATTCTCCTAAAACCTGTCGCAATGAAAGTTTTTTGTTTTTAAATCATCCTGAATTTAATGTAATTGTATTTTTGTGCGAGACAAATATTCGTTTGTTGTGTAAATTAACGCAACACTTGATATATAAGCACATTATTTACTGGAAAATTACATTTTCGATAGCGCTCTATTTCCACTACACATATGGTCTAATCAGAATCCGTCTATTGCGAGGACCACAAATGCCTGTGAATTCTTTCATTCGAGATTTAATTCTTCTTTGTATTCAACACATCCTTCTATTTTTATTTTTATTGAAAAGTTAAAAGAATTTCAAGTAGACACTTATGTCAAAATAAATAGTTCACATATACCAGCAAAAATCAAAGATACTACTGTTAAGGCTAAATTGGCATTTTTGGAGAAAATGATGGATAAACTACGATCCCAACTAATACGTAGGTTAGATTTTATAAAAGCTGTATCTTATCATTCCTATAATAGCAAATAAATCATTGTATACAAGTTAATTAACGGTAAAATGTACTTATAGTTGTATTATATTTAGATATTACAGTGATAAAGAAATAAAACGCACATTACTTTTATTAAAATAAATAAATAAATTAATTATGGTATTTTATTTATGTCGCAGCTATATTTATTTGGTGTCGAATATACCTGTAAGGTATATTCTACACCAAGGTATATTCGACACCAATAGTTGTATTATATTTAGATATTATTACAGTTATAAAGAAATAAAATGCACATTACTTTTATTAAAATAAATAAATTAATTAATTATGGTATTTTATTTATGTGGCAGCTATATTTATTTGGTGTCGAATATACCTGTAAGATAAAAACGAGAATTAAGGCTGGTGTCGAAAATTGCCATTAAATTTTAGTCGATACCTGCTTAGTGTCGAAATTTCCTACGCCCGTTAAAAGGGAGCTACTCGTGTTTTGATTGGAGAGCTAGGTTGTGGAAAAGGATTTCTTTATTTGAGAGGAGTAGAAGAACTAACTATGAAAACGAAATCAAAAAAATACTTACAGAGATGTCCAACAACACTAAATATGAAAATTCCTAAACTATTTAAAATTAGGACGCCGTTTGAAAAAATTCTTTTGCTGCTTGGAAAGAAAAGTTTTTCTTTCCTAAAAAATTTTAAGGGTGAATATCTTTAAAAAAAAAATAATTTTAATTATTTTTATTTTTATTTTACATCAAGTTATTAGAAATAAAAATATTTAAATCTATCAACAAATAATACATTGAGCTGGATCTTAGAATTATGGTTATGTACCAAATGGTAGAAAAGAATGTACTTACTGTCATAAGTGTCCAAATAAACTTATTAACTTTTCTGAATTTAAAATAAAATAAAATATGGCAATTAGCTGACACATAAAAGATATATTTATTTATAAACTTTTTAAATTGTCATGAGAACATATCTTATTGTATTAATAAAAAATTTTAAAAAAAATAACAAAACTACTCGATTCATTGGCTAATTATTCCTTTTGAAATTATAAAAAAAAAGTTGTTACTTTAGAGATGAATACAAAAAACACTGTCCCATTGTCTTTAAAACAATCAAAACCTGACCCATGTGAGATACAAAATGGATGCTGGACAAATCTTGGGAGAAATTAAATCAAATAACAAAACCGGACTTAAGATTATCCTGGATGATAACAATATGTATTCTTTAAACTTGGCTGCCTACTTAAAATTATGTCGGCCCACTTAGTTGTCAGAATACCGTTATCAAATTGGTAGTTCCTTTAATTTATAATAATCATAAATATTTATTGTTGCAGATTCAGCTCCATTTTAAAATAAATACCTCAAATAGATTACGCAAGCTAGAATGGAAGTTTTTGGTCTCAAGGTAAGTGTTCATTTATTCATAACTTTAATAAATATGCATGGGTATAGTCCTCAGATTGTTTGTAGCATTTTCTTATCGGTAATTGCATGTTTTTAAATATTAATATAATCTTAGAAAACAACATAAAAAAACTTAATGAATCGTTACATAACTACATTTATACCTAATATTAATATTTTTGAATAATGTAAAGTGTTTATAAGCCAAATATTTTTTCTTTTGAATGTGTAACGCGATAATTTTCGTTGTAACTGCATTATTTATTTCCGTAAATAAGTATAAATTTATTTAGGTAAAGAGAAATAAGAATAAAACTTCTTCTTCTTCGCGTGCCATATCAGAATTATCCGACGTTGGCGACTACCATTGCGAAGGCTTCTCGATCTTCTGCAATATGGAATAATTGTCCTGCATTTGGTATCTGAGTCCAATCACGAATGTTTTTTAACCAAGAAACCTGTTTTCTTCCTACGCCTCTATGGCCCTCTATTTTGCCTTTAAGGATCAGTTGTAAAATTTTGTATCGACTTCCCCTTACTATATGTCCCAGATAAGATATTTTTCGATGTTTAACAGTCTTTAGCAGTTCTCTATCTTTGTTGACGCTCCTTAGTACTTCATCATTAGATTTTCTTGTTGTCCAAGATCTCTTTGGCGTTCGTCTATGAACCCACATTTTCAATGCTTCAATTTTGTTCACGATCGATACTTTTAGCGTAGACACTTCTGTACTATACAAAAGTACAGACCAAACATAACACTTCATCTTGCTTTGACCTAGTTCTAAACTGAGATGGTTATTGCAAAGAAATGAATTCATTTTCATAAAAGTAGTTTTAGTCATTGCTATTCTACATTTTATTTCTATGTCTGGATCTAGTTGGTCTGTTATCACAGTTCCCAAATATGTCATTTTGTGAACTGTCTTAACTTGGACTCCGTTCAATTGAAGCTTTGCATCGGGATGTGGGTCACGACTAAACACTAAAAATTTGCTTTTGTTTAAGTTTCTTTTAATGCCCATTTCCTCTCCTAACTTGGGAATACAATCAAGCAGAATTTAAGGACATTCAATATTATCTGATAGAATTACTGTACCGTCTACATATCTCATCACATTAAGTATTTCCCCGTTGATTTGTATTCCATATGGTTGTCTCTCAAGTGCCTTTTTAAATAACTGGTCCGAGTAAACATTAAACAATGTTGGCGACAAAAAGCAATCTTGTCTGACTCCTCGGTGTATGGGGATTTAATCGATGTAGTTATCTCCAATTTTTACGATAGCAGTTTGATTCCAGTATAAATTTTTAATGACACGAATATCCTTGTCATCTTTTCCGACATTTTTCAGTATTTGAATTCATTTTGGTCACGGCATTTTTGTAATAGGATGTTAAGCGCAAAAGTGTCTCCCTGGTTCCCATAGCATTTCTAAAACCAAATTGGGTATCTTCAATATCTTCTTCTCATTTGCGTCTAATTTTTAAGAGTGTGGCTCATTAGGTTAATTAATCAATATTCTGAGCATTTTCTTGCATTGTGTTTTTTAGGTATTGCGATAAAGACGGATTTTAGTCAATCTGCGGGAATCACTCCGGTATTATTAATTAAAAATCTTACTACTACTTTTATGTTATCATTCTCTATTAGTTTCAGCAACTCAGTGGGTGTATCATCTGGACCACAAGCTTTTCTAATTTTAGCATTATTTAAAGCGTGTTCTACTTCGCATTTTATAATTTTTGGGCCGTCAGTGTAGTTTTGGTAGAATTCGGCAATATTATTCCTGTCATCTTCAAACAACTCTGATATATACATCTGCCATTCTTTTCTTATTTCGTGCTCATTTACAATAATTTTTTTATTATTGTAAACAAGTACAGAGAAAACCCGTTTTTTAAATATATTACTTATTTCTTTGTTTTTTATGCGCATTAAATAAGTCGTGTTTAGATATTACATTTTTTTTGGCTAATTTGATATCCTTTTTTATTCTTCTCTGCAGGTGTCTATATTCTGTTACATTAGCTTTTATTAGTCGATGTTGTTCCATTAATTTTAAGATGTCATTTTTCATCCATTTATTGTTCTTAAGTTTTTTCTATAATCATTGTTTGTGGCGATTTCGTTAACTTGATTTTTAAATTCACTCCATAGTTCTTCTGGATCTTCTAGTTTTTCTCCGATGTTTTTTACTCTATTGTTAAATTCTTTTTTAATGTTTTTTTTTTTATATTTATGTCATCAAAGTTAAGTACATTGGTTTTTGATTTTTGTCGCTGAATTCGTTTTAACCTTAGTTTAATATCTGCTACAAGTGGTTGATGATCAAATCTAATATCTGCCCCAGGAAATGTAGTGACTTTTTTGATGGCATTTCGAAAACCCTCATTTACATGTATATAGTCTATCTGATTTCTTGAGGACTTAAGATTATTCACATTATCAAATGGAGCTTTCCAAGTGTATACAAACAATATATAGTCGTCGCTTGAGTAGTTTATACCAGGTGTTGGCAATGATCATATCGTTTTTTTTTTTGACAAAATTCATACAATCTTTGTCTTCGATCGTTAGGTTGTCCTAAACCATAAGGACCTACACTCTGACCTTGTCGTGCTTTTCCAATTTTTGCGTTGAAGTCACCTATAATATATAAAATTTTGTGTTTATTAAGTTAAATGTCTGTTAAATGTCTTGGATCTGATCACACAACTTCTCGACTTCATCGTCATATTTTCTATCTGCAATTGGAGCATAGATTTGAAGTATGTTAGTTTTAAATGGTTGAGTATTTATTTGGAATAATATTATTCCATCCAATACTGGTACGAAAATGGTCACATATTTACTCAGTTCTGATGTTACTAATATACCTACACCATTTTTGTGATGCGGATCTTCTGTGATGTTACCGGAATGATATAATTCACTTCTGTCCATTTTACATGATCCTGACTATGGCCATCTTATTTCGCTGATTTCCAGTAGGTCTATTTTCATTCTTTTCTTTTCTTTATTTGCGTTGTCAAGTTTCCCAGCTGTAAATAGACTTCTAGCATTCCATGTACACATTCTAAAATTAGATTTCCATATTTTTAGGATTTCTTTACGAGGTTTTCGCATGTTTACGACCTGAGAAGCCTCGTGGTATAAATAGGTTTCTCCTCTCATGCCGAATCTTGGCCTCCGCTTTCCATGATTAGCAACGGTTTGAAATTGCAGTGTCAATTCTATGGTAATTTTCCTGGGGGTGCTCTATGAGCCGTTAATACAGTGGTTCCCCTTTGCCTTCTGCATTCTTAAGCTGTTGACCATTATTTGTTAATTCATCTGCCTTCGGGGCCGATTTCTCAACCTTAGGACAAAAGAATGCTCTACCACTTACCAACTCATCCGCCCTGAGCCTTTGGTCAGTAAGTGGGGGATTGCTTATACCGGCAATCACTTGGACGTCAGATCCTTATTTGTTATCCAGTAGGATACACCGGATGACCATAATCAAAATCATCACGCAAGCAGGCGAGGTTGACATTTGGATAGGAGAGACTATACATTGCGCATCGCTATCCCTTGCATCCCAAAAATAAGATTTACTTACTATCAATTTATTCTACCAACAACGACCGGTTTAACATTGTGATTGTCTACTTTTTAGTGGTTCAGTGGGTTATAGTGGTAAAAAAATTGCACCAATACAATGTAGGTTACAAAAAATTCAAAAGATTTATAAGACCACCGCCGCTTAAAAACACCGAAAAAGGCGGTACATCGCGTGTACCATGACTACTTAAAGGGTTAAGGGAATATTAAACTGATGAAATCTCTTAGAGGTAGCTAGTTGAAGTATAACGTAGCTATTTGTGTCCTTAAACTAAGATTTTTCGTGTACACTGCAAACTTTTAATACTTTAGAGTTTTTACCTCAAAAGTTTTACATTTTATTAAAGAACTTCATATGATTTTTTACCATCTGCATATTTTCTTGTCAGCATGGTTTATACTTTATGCAAAATTGCAACGATTAACGTTTTTCCTTCCTATCGACTCTTTCTACCAGTGAAATTTTATTAAAACTTGGTTCGTGTCTGCGGCTGACGTTTTCGCAATACGCTATTACTATAAATTTTCGAGTTTTGACAGCTGGGAAAAAATAGTCTTTTGTCGATACAGCGAAATATTAGTAATGAAGCTTTGCATTTCAGTGCTCTCGATTTATTTCGTAAATAAATGTTCTCGATTTTTATGGGTGGTTGTGTCATTTTTAGGGTTATTTGTTGATAATTTATGGTCGAATCGTGCAAGTTGGTGGTGGTTATTTACATCTGTTCTTTGGGTAGACTTAATTATCATTTTTTAACAATAAAATAATAATTAAGACAACGATAATATAAACATGCTAATAAATTGGACACCAAATTTCGGACAATATATTTTGTTACTGTCTAAAATATTAATTTATTGAAGAAAACAAAATGATCAACATCGGAAATTAACTGACTTGAATATTTTATGAGTTTGTATCAAATAAACATTGAATTAATTAATGTAAGTGACTCCTTTGCCTCTGATACCGCTTAAGAGACTTTGATTTATACTAAACCCTGTCCTTTTAATGAAATGTAGCAAAAATACCTGTCATCTTGGAGAATGAAAGCTAATATAATTTTTACAAAGTAATAGTTAGATAAATAACGTTAACCATCAATACAAAATACAAGAAAATCAACAATTTGATCAAATCCTGTCAACAAGGAATAAACTTACTAAAGAGTTTTATCCAATCATAAATGGGGATCAGATACTAAAATTCTTCTTAATTTATATCAGACATTAATAAGAAGCAAACTCGACTACGGATGCATCTGTTATGAAACAGAAAATAAAAATCAACTAAAAAAACTGGATGTTATTCAAACCACATCTCTAAGATTAATCTTTGGGGCCTTTAGAACTACTCCAATAAGAAGCCTTCAAGTGCTAGCAGGAGAAATGCC